GTCGACTCCTAACAGAAGACTACCGCTATCCACTGGGAGATGCAATGCATGTGGAACAAGCTATCCAGCGATACTTTAATGGAAAAATAGCTGATCCACTTAATGACCTTTTTCAAAACCTTGGTGATATGAAAAAAATATTTTTGAGTCTCCATCGTTTGTGAGCCCCACATTAGATCCAGAAAGAAGGATACAACCTGATATCATTCATTTGTTAACTAGATCGGATCTAAATACGCAATATCCCGAGATTGTTTTGGGAATAGGTGATTACAAAACAGGAATCTACAAAATGACGCAAGGCTTTGAAGAATTCAAAACGTCTATTCTAAACCGAAGAAGATTGAGGCTGAATTCAACTGGGAACTTCTTTCCAGATAGGGAGTGGTCTCCGAGGGTATTATTTGCGTTGGTTCTAAGCAAATATATCTACGAAGCTTTTCTCTGCGGAACTGACAGAATTTTTATTTCAGATCACCAAACATTTTCAGGATTCTTCAAGTATGAAATATTGGATGGCCAAATGATTATAGACTACTATATAATCAATGACCCAGAAGCTGTGGAGCATGGTATTACTTTAAGGTCGGCTATGGCAGGCTTTTTTAATAAAAGTCTTGGTGAAGCATCTGTTACAAAGACCAGGTTGATGGAACTTTTTAATACTGCCTGCAAAGCTGAAGTAAAAAAATAGAAGAACTGGATCCATTCTTTAATGTTCGTCCAAAAGATGATTCTGGATCTTCAAGGAAATTGACTGAACAGGGATATTCAGGCAGCTCAGACTCAATAAAAAATAAGGTAACTGCGAGGAAATCATCTGTAAGCTTAGACTCGATAAAGCAAAATAAAGGATCTTCGAAGAAATTGGCTGGAAGCTCAGGCTCAATAAAAAAAAATAAAGGAGCTTCGAAGAAATTGGCTGGACGTGGACTTTCAGGCAACCTAGCCTCAATAAGAGAAATTGACTTGAGTGATAACTTTGATTCCATTGAAGGCAACACATATTGTCGAATCATATACGATTCCACAGAGTTTTATCCTGATTTGAAACTTCCATCACCAGTTTTTGTCAAATTATATCACTACGCTAGTCAGTTGTGGGAAAAGAATAGTTTTATGTATTTGGAGATACCGGAAAAAGAGGGTTACTATGGAATGTTTTTCAACGAGCTTTTAATTAACAAACAAATTGCTAAGTCAAAATTCGCTACTACTTTATACTCATTATTTCCTCAGGACAGGACCTATAATTGATTTCTCAAGAAAACAATATTATGATAATAAAAAATAAGAACATTTTCAATACTATTTTTGTTACAAGCATAGCTATTTCTGCGTTATTCTTGGTAGCTAGTGTGCATGCCGAAAATCCTGAAGTAGACGTTACGACCGACTCAAACAGACCAGACTTATTGCCAGTATCTGTTCTCGATAAGAGATTTCCATGGTTTGTTATAGGCTGGATCTATGGTGTTGTTCAAGGTGGCTTTAGTTTATATGGTTTAGCAGATCTGTGCAAGGATTTCTCAGAATCAACATCTAACAAGATAGGATGTGTATCTGGTGCCATATGAACAGCTGTGACCATAGCTGGAGCAGGTTGGGCAGGATGGAATAAGTACATCGAGATCGGTAATGCTTTAATCAATGCACCTAAGCACAAACGAGCAGATATGACAGGCGAGCTTGAAGAACAGTTCACAAAGATTACAGGTTTATCTGCATCTCATGTGGGATTTGTTGCACAATCTCACAACTCAAAAAGCGAAGTGATGCTAGCTGCAACCAGTAGCAATATACCTGTTATGAGAATGATTACACCTCACAACCAAACACTTCACTTTGCAATCAGAAAGGTATCCGAAAAAAAGTTTCATTCAATATTAGGTTTCCATGCTAATGACTCCACTACTACCAAATCTACACGTGAAGACTTTAACGAGGAGAATTTCCTGAATGGCGGAGTTGAGTTTTCTCATTTCTATGTTGCTAATGAAGATAATGATGGAGGTATTTTAAATCAACAAAATGACTGGAATACAATATACGACCAGACCTAGTGTCAAGCGAACAAAGATTTGAACAATGATCAAAACAGGAATTATGTTCAATATCAGATATATGATCACAATAATGAAGGCACCATAGCAGCCGGAACCGTAATAGGCTTTAATGATCAGCCTAATGGATTTCATGGGGTTACGGATGAGCCTAATTCGTTACCAGAAGATAGCGCCTGCGCAATAAATTAGAATTGAGAAACCCGAAAAACTGGAGAAATATTCAAAAGGTAAAAAAATAGAAAAATAGAGAAACAAGAAAAAATTAAAAAAAAAAAACTACAGAACTGTAATTTTGAAGCAAAAAAAAATAATTATATACATATATACACTTATATAAATTAATCATAAGGTATTATATGTATTCGTTATTCAATATCTTACTAAATGAACTGGCGTTGTATTTTATAGTTGGTGATTGATAGCATGTTCCTATTTTCTCATATAGCTAAGTATTGCAGCAATATACTAGGTTCGAGGCTGTTATACTCCATAAATAAGTCCGTCAGAAATTCGTTATCGACTCATTACACAAACACATGGCAGTCGTATTTCAAGCCAACAGAGGTGAGTACATCTTTAATTTAACAGATATATAATATGATTGTAATTTGAGAAATCTGTTCTAATTAGCAACTGCTCTATCTTCCTAAGCACCATACAATGATTCCATTTTAGGACCATGTCTATAATTGAGCATATGAATTCTTTTGAAATTGGTGCTTCCTAATCCTTATAAAACATGACCTATCACTATATCTAATAGGAATGTTATTACTTGAATATCTGATTGTACTAACTTTTAATCATGTCTTTTCTCATAATATTGAGCGTTAAGTTTTGTAATCCAATTGCA